AGTTTTAGTGCTTACTTAACTGATACATGCAAAATTTAATTCCTCTCTTTGTCTTGTCTGCTAGGAACTACTTCCAGACTCATCATATTTCCTCAGGCCTTCATCAACCCCTTTTCAGTTGCAGAAACCTCTATACATAAAAAGCAACCTCCCTGCAGTAGTATGGACATGAATATAATTTCATTTGACTAGGAACAGCAAACAACAACACCACAACAACAAACCAAAACCCCAAACAAACAACAAACATGCCTAGGACGACTTAAAGAAGAAAATAAAATCCAAACACACTTTATATCTTTAGCTGTTCTATGCTTTCACAGCATTGATTGTAGAAGCTTTTACCAGATGCTACGTAATTTTTTGCCAGGATGTGTTCAAATGAAATTAATTCCAAAATAAGAGATGATCTGGAGGTTAATAAAAAATCCTAGCACTTTCATAACTTTCCACAAATAATAAACTTCAAACATCAGATAATCTCCAGCTAGCAGGTATTTCAATACTTTAATTTACTGTGGGGTTTTTTCTGAGGCATATTCAGAGAAATGGCTAAAGGAACTGTAATAGCCTTCTGGGACAGGAAGATTAAGGTTCCTGTAAAAAAAGTTAAATTAATTTTTAGAGTGATGCAAAGTCAGGGAAGGGTTGTTAAGGGATGGCCTCTTGCCACAGGGTGGAGTTTTGTTTTGGTATCCTTTTAGAGTCTGCAGGTGTTTGGCAGGAGCTGAAATCAGGGCCAGCTGTGATATTTCAGCTCCGATATGTCCCTCCCCATATTTCTCAGAAGTGATGCATCAGGGTGATGTCTTACACCTGATGTACTCAACTTGTGTGGTATGACTATAACTGCTTGGGGGCAGGGGTGGGGGAGTACCATTGCATGGCTTCAATTTTTATTTTCATCTGGCAGCATTCATATAGTAAAATTAATCAACATGAATGGATTTTATCGGGTAAAACATCAATTTCTTAAACTGCCCATAATATTTGTGGGTTGGTTTTTTTGCTTCGTATCTACGCCAGCCATTTAATTAAAGTGATAACATTGTATAAGAACAGTGAAAGAACTGACATTCTGAAAAGGGGGAGGATAATGTTTTAAAGCAAATAAAACAAGAAAAACTTCCAGTCCCCTCACTTTACCAGCAAAGATCTTTGTTCTTCCATACTCTTAGCTGCAGTACAGTGCGTACCTGTTTTTGTTTTGTTTTATCTTTTGGGAGAATTTGAATAGTTTCTATTAAAAATGGTATTCTCTTTTAAGTTTGTTTTGTTTGGAAAACCTCAAACCACATTGTATTTCATACACATGTTCCCCAGGGTATGTTAAATGGGACCATACTGAGGTCACTACTAAGTTTTTAAAACGTTTTAAGAATTCCTTTAATGTTTGTACTATCTTGGCTTGTTTAAAAGAACACATTTCTAAAAAATAGCTTGAAAATTTTTTACTATAAAAAGCTTCATTAAAATACTCTATACTGTACTCTGAAGAGTTTGTAAGAACTTTTTACAAACATTCTTTCCTCCCTCTTGTTTTTAAGAAAATTGTTCCCTTAACTAGCAAAGCTGCTCCTCCTTTTCTCAGCCTTTTTATCCATACATCCGCAAGTACACATATGCTTCTATCCACAGACTGATTGACTTAGCAGTACAAATGCCTGTGGTATTCATTTTAACTTCACAAATGAATAAAAGATTATAATCAGTGGGAAAAGTGGATGTTTCCCTCCATTCATGGAAAAAACAGTATCACCTGGCACTCCATCTTAGTGAAAAATTTCATGTTTTTTGGCAGCTCACTCCGAGTATGATTGAAGCTGTTAATGATATTAACAAAATGTCCTGGGATCAAAAATGTGTTGTTTTATCTCAGTTTATAGAAAGAGTCATACAAACCTTTCCTGGCTTTCAGTTCTGAGGTTCTTTTGCTTAAAATAAAATTATAAAACACAACCCACCTGTAGCTGATTAAGTTCCATTAGACCATTTCAGTCATCTCTTTTACTTGTCTTTCCTTTCTCTTCAGACTTGCTTCCATTCCTGCCTTGCATTATTCCAAGCCCCTCCTAAGATTTCTGCCTTTGGCTGGTACAAGCTCGGGGTACCCTTTGCAGCATTACTAACAGCTGGGTTGACATGTGCTTTGATGATGGCTGATATCCCTGCAGTGTATCTTGGGAACTAACAGGACAAGACTGCACTTGAAATGAATGATGGTTGCATTCCGGATAGCAAAATCCATAGATCAAATAGGAAGGGAATGGCAGTACAAATGAAGTTTAAAAATGGAATTGTGCTTAGATCCAATTCTGCTGGCAACATCCAGAATGGAAGAGGTTAGCAAAAACTAAGTGTTGTTGATTAGAGGCAGATTAGAGTTTTTCTGTATTTTCTGTATCACTGGTTTGATGTTTTCCTAGAGTCTTTGCAGTGGCTGAAAGCAGATTACTATGAAAAGCAGATTACTGCATTATGATAAACTATTTTACATCACAGTTTGTACTTTTTGTAATAGTAAGTGAGGTTATTAAATGCAAGCTGAGTGATATCTTTCCTAGAAATGCATGTTTGGATCTAAACTGAGTCTGAAAAAAACCACCATATTATGAGAGCACTGTGAAGAATGACTGCAAGGTTCTCCTACTTAATGACCGGGTTAACCTTTGCCTGATGCTTGTTGTGATTACAGTATGTTGGTGGTGGTGGGTGCTGTTTTTTCCCCTGTTATAACTGGGTTTTCATAGTGCAAAGGACACCCAGATTACACATTCTCAGGTGTTGCTAGACTTCTTCCCTAGTCCTCAACATAGTCTCAGGGCACTGTCATGCTTTGGCATTTCAGAAAGCAAAACTGCAGCCTGGCTTATGAAAGAGTAAGGCTATACCCAAGTGTGTTTGCCCCACCAGATGCCTGCTGTCTATACAGCAGCACAAGGATGAGGGAAGGGGAGGGAGACTGGGCAAGGTACAACACTTAAAACCACTGTTCAGAAGAAATGTGAAAGCGAAAAGCTGACCCTAAACCTCCAAATCCAAGCTACAGATACATGACTCAGGGCAATGAAGCCACCTGTGAAGTCTTCACCATGCAAATAAAAACATGTTAGAAATTTTTCTGATTTTGAATTAGAAAAATATACTTAAGAGGCTGAGTATGCTACTCTTGATTGCTGGTCTGCTGGATGGTCTCTCATATGTAAAGGTGGAGTGAGGAATTAATTTTATGTAAGTGATGTAAATATCTCAACATAGAACCAATACTTTAAAATTACAACCATTTTCCACATTTGAAGAAAGAAGAAGAAAAAACTCCAGGAGTTTTTTTCCCCTCCCTCCCCTTGAAAACTGTGAGAAAATGTTTAAGGAGGCAGATAGCACCAGAAAAAATACAAATGTGTAACAAGCAGCAGCACCACAAATAGTGACATGTTACTTCAAATAGGAATAAGAAGAGATTGTCTAAGTACCACTTGAGATAAGAATGTAGAAAAAACAACATTTTCAAGTAGTTTCATAAGGAAAAAAAGATCATAGGGAAGTATTTACAGGAGTTTACAGGAAAATATTTTGAAAAATCTGGTGTACAATGGTATCTGACTGCAAAGCAATGTGATAGTTTTTATGGACAGGTAAACTATGTCAGGTTATTTAATATTTAGGTGAATCCTAACAAAAGCAGGGAAACCAAGCTAGTGTCTTTGCAATTTGGGAGGTAATTGCAATCCCACAATATACTAATTTTTAAAAAGCAGTCTCTTTCAGAGTGGAACTGAGTTTTTAACATTTGCAGCATCAAAAAAGTGCAAAGAATATTTTTCCAGTGTTGTCCCAAGTACAGCCAAGTCAACCACATTCTGAATAAAATAAAGCCTCTTGCTGTATGTTCTTCAAAGCCCAACCCTAATCCCTGTGAAAGTTATGAAGTGAAAAATTTGGCCCATGCATACTTTACAGCATGGTACTACATCATTTGATGGAGAAAGAGGGTATTTATTTAAGAAAAAAGCTACTTTCCTTGTGGTAGCCTTACAAATGTTGTCTTATACTTTTAGAAGTTTCATAAATATATTTATAGCAAACATTTATAAAAAACATGATCCTTTCTGGTGGAGATTGATTTGCCCGTTCTTTCCCAAAGACAAATCATATTTATACTCCTGAAAAACACTTACAAAATTGGTTGTTTCCAGTCCTCCCAATGGCCAGTATTTTTTCTGATTACTCTCATTATTAGAAAGTAATTTAAAAGACATTAATCACGCAATAGAATAGCTGTTAAATATTCTACTATTCCAGGCAGTATAATTCAGCCAAATTCAGTTGGGCTCTTTAACCCATCATAAACCAGAGGGTGAGGAAAACTGGAGGAATCAGGGAAAATCCAAGTATCCTAACTCTACAGATACTAAAATGTAAAATGTGGTTCATCATTAAGTATAGAGCAGTGAAGGAATCAAAGTAATAAATAAATAAATAAAAAATTGCAATGTTCTCAGCCAGGGAAACCACCACGCCAAGAAAAGGTTAATATTTTCACCTTTCTGTATAGAACTTCTGTGCTTCATTTTTGTGTTTCCAGTAAAAAAACTGTATATATTCTGGCCATCCAAATTCCATATAGAAAACCAGTTGCTTGTGGACAGCAAGAAAGATACTTTGCTGCAAATTTATCTAACAGAACACAATTACAGAATACATTGCAATTTATTTCCCTGTTTTACCAGCCTTTTTTGAAAGACAGACTCCATACAGGACACGGAATACCTATGTTTAGTACATTATGATGTTTTCCCTGAGAATGTGAATTCATTTAAGGATCTGTATTTATTTATTATGCCATATTATTGGCCTTAAACTCAACCCACCATATAAGTCTTAAATCCCATTTCGAAGTAGCTGAAACCACGCCGGAACAGGATAAAAAAAAGTGATCATTACTCAGCATTTGTAAAACACATGTAATAATGTACAGAAAAGACTTGGTGAGAACCAACCTGAGGATCCGAGAATACTTGCTGCATATTGTTGATTGGGCCATATGGAACCCCACTACCTTCAAAGAGCTGCAACCATTCAGTTGTTGCTTTTTCTGAAAACCTAAGAGCAAATAAGAAGCATGTGGTTTCAACTCCGTGCTTTCAGATAGTGAAAAATACATAGCATGTCTCCTCCCTCTCTCCCTGCTTCCATACCCTTCCCCACTGATTTCTTCCCAAGCAGTGAGTAACATAACGAAAATGTATTACATGTGTTCTTCAGAAATGCAAAACCCAAAGACATGGGGTAAAGAACACAGCTCAACTAACTTCTATTTCTATCTGATCATCTGAAGCAATCCAGCAATGATGTAAAGCTAAATTTACCAGCAGTTTCAAATAAGGATCAATGGGTTTCCTCCAGTTCTTAATTACACTAATGTGCTTCACATTTGTTTTCTTTTATGTACATATTTGACAACAAAAAGATAGATATAATGTGGGTACTAGTCTAACATACAACACTGCTCACTAAAAGCTGATGTAAAGCACCACAGTTTTTTCCTCCATTACATCTGAAACATATGTCAGGATTAACAGCCACATATTTTGGTCAGATAACAACATTGATTACATATTTATTTACTGTATCTTCTTGTACCCTAAGGACATCCGGTTCAACATAAATACACTGTGCCTGTGTGGGTGAGCACAGAGCTCCATGTCCTTGTATCTCATACAAAAAGCTCAGTTTATTTCCTTCTAAGGATTCAATTCAATAACTGGTAACACCAATCTATTTCTGCTCTTTTGCTGGATAATTTTTCTCTCCTTGTCTGCCCAGTAGAGTTACCTACATGAAGAAAAAAAACACTCTTCAAGCAATACTGGTCACTGAGAGACGGTATTTTCTGCAGTTGTCTGGGATTCTGAATCAAAGGTGAACTTATTTGGAAATTGTACCTTCAACTTCATGAAGGTCAATAGCACAGAGGTCTGTCAGATTCTTAGAAAGGGAAGATCTACTTCATGACACATACAACACTGATAAGAAATTAGGCGTGATTTAAAGACCTGATGAAAATTAAATTAATGGAAACCTTGATAAGGGTCACTCAGTTACTGGTATTCTGTACCTCACCAGTTCAGAGTTGCCCAAGTGCTACCCAGAAGGATACTGGTAACATTCAGCTTTACTTCTATGTTACTATGCAAAAAACTCTTCCAAGTTTCTGACATAAACCTAATAGAGAAAACGCCCAGAAATCCCTAGATCAGTACTAAGTCAAACTTTGCCAACTTCTTTATTTATACATATTTTTATATATGCAGAGATTGGCTGCAAAGATTTTTATGCTACTTTTTAGCTGAAGGAAAAAAAAAAAAATAGTGATGGTGACAAGTTACAGTTATATTAACTATACAACATAGTTACAGATCCAAGCCTCACAGTTACTGTGCAGAATAACTTCCCCAAGCTCTGAGGGAATAAACCCTGATACCCAATGCCTTTTGCACTCTAAGTAAATAGGAAAAATGCACCACTTTTGCCCTGTTTTTTCTCAGAAATAGAACCTTTACTCCTGCTGATTTTTTTTTTGAATACATGTGAAATTAACAAATAGTACAAGGAGAAATGGAAGGAACAATCCTATAGAAAAATCAAAATAAAATGTTTCAAAAGTGCAAGATTTATTATAAAATGAAGCATCACTTTCTGAAGAAAACAGATCAAAGATTATTGCACTTTTCAGTTATATACTTCATTGAGTATTAAACTTAATTCACAGTAAAGATGTATTCAGCCATAAAAATAAAAATAAAACTATTCTGCTAATCATACCTAGAATCAGGTGCACTACAGGAAACTGGGGAAAAAAAAAAATATATATATATTCCTTCCTTAGTGACTGCAGCCATTGGGAAAGCATTATTTTAATCTAAAATACAATTTGTATTTCTCTTCTGTACTCTTTTTGGCAACAATTCTCATAAACCATATAATCTTATAATTCATTTCCTTCTATTACTAAGGTTTGGGGCTCAAACTACTGCATAGTGTCAATATTCTTCATGTGAAAAACTGCTTCCTGTCAGTTATTGGTGCTATTTGTACAAAACTCTGCAGATTCTCTGCTAGCAACTGAGCCACTTCCCTCCTGAGATTTTCATAATTTATGGTTCATTAGCTCCCTTTTTAAAAGCTTTTTGCAGCTACTTTTTCTGACACCTCAACCTTCACTACTATCATGTTTCTAACAAAAGACAGCACAGCTACAAGAGGACCCATCATAACCTTGGTGCTGAAGACCACCACTAAGAAATTAAAATAATTTTTAATATTGATATCATCTTTCCCTGGACCCATTACTAACGAATAGGCCCTGCTATGCTATGTTGCTCTTTAAGAAAGATTTGATAAACATTCTTCTGAGTTTAAAAAAAGCAAAAGCACCAAAACAAAAAACCCAAAAACTACTGGATTGAAAGGATAGTCTGAAAATAAACTCATTTTAATGGGAGTGTCAATTATCTACATCTGCATAATCAGTATGCTACTTTCTGATGTCATGGTAAATCAGAATAATTTCAAAGACACACGTTCTTCTTTAGTAACATTATTACTAGTGACTCATCCTGCAGTGAAAGGAGTGCATGTTTTGCAAAACTTCTATGGGATGTATGAATTTCTGAGTTTTTCCTTCCCATGTAACAGACCAAAAAAAAATTTACCATAATTTTTAGGAAAACAAGTGATGTTCTGTTTTAAAAAAAATACTTGCTTTCAATGAACTTCGTCGGTAATCTTTCTTATTAATTTAGTTATTGGTGGTTGGAGAGAATTCCTAAAAGCTTTAAACTCGATCAAAGCTGTAAAAGCCACATTTTATCACCCTCAAAGGAGACACATAGCATTGTCTCTTGAAATTGAAACTCCTGACCTAAATCTGATGTAGAATAGCTCCCTTTATTTGTGGTAAAAAGAGGCTGTTGACAGCATACTGTTAAACAAACTGTTCAAAAACATCACCACTGCCAATAAAGGTCTGTTATTCAGATTCTGAGAGCAACATCATGCAACTATTAGGTTCATTTGTGTTTTATATATATTTGAAATATCTTTTGTACAGCATTAAGGTAGAAATACTGTTTCAACATTTGACAAGAGAAAGGGTAAAATGCATTAATAAAAAATGTCCAAGTTTAGCTCTCTGATGTCAGCTGCACAATTATTTTTGTTGCTAACCTGTCTGTGTCATTTCTTCCACCTAAATACAATTTTTAATAGCACTAACAAAAATAAATACCATAAGCTTTCCTTATAGCAAAGGGCTGATGTTTAGGTTACTAGGTATCAACTGATAACATGCTCAGCACTCCAAAATATCAAGTAAAGACCTTCAACAAAAACT